GTAATTTTCTTTAGGATTTTAGACATGAAGCTGCAAAGTTTAGAAAGATTTTAAGGCAGATTTATAAGCCCAGATTCTAAAGATCCAGAAAAATGTGATAAAATGAAAATGTCTCATGGCAGTAACCATAGTTCTTACTTTGGAGAACCTCTGAGAAAATGAAATAATGTGAATGTTTACTTTGATCTAGAATTGCTTCTTAACATTTTTCTTCCTTATTTTCTACTTTTCAATAGATACAAGCAGGAAAATATAAAAAGTACTGCTATATTATATATGGAAAGAATTTTTTTATTAATAAGAAATTGGAAACTGACATTCAAAAGATTCATCTAATATTCTAATGCATCATACATAGAGCTGGAGTAGGCATTGCTCCTGACGCAATCTCTGTGGATCCTAATTCTGCTGTTGGTGCCCTTCTAAATTCTGCTCCAATGCTGCTCTAAATTCTAAAATTTATACCAACCAGCTCTGTGACCAGACTTTACCTATGTATTTATATTTTTATGATGTTCGTATTATGAAGAAAGAATTAGAGCTTTTTCCATACAGTCAAATGCATTAGTCTTTTAGAATATCAGAAGTCTTTAATAAATGCCAAACTTTAAAGTGAAAAGGAAACGTGTGAAAAAAGAACTAAATAGTAAAGAGAAAGAAAATTATTCTTCAAAGATATGTACAGTTTATTATGTAAATTACCAGTTATTTACAGTTTCAGCCTTATTATAATTTCCCATTCTATTTCCTCATCAGAATGCAAATCACTGTTCGCAGACAGTTTTTAAACTGAGGTTTTGGGGAGTGTAAGACGAGTTGTTTAACCTCCACTTGCCCTGAATTAGTTCTGTCAGCTCTGATAATTGAATCATTAGTCTTTCCATTACTGCTGCTGACATTTGGTTTACTATGACAATATACAAGTCTACGAGTTACTGAACAGATTAAATTGAAATTAATTGTTATAGTCTTTGACCACTGTCATATTTTTGGTTTGAATTGACTCTCTTGTTAATTATCACCACAAACTGAATTGATTGTTAGCTAAGCACAGGCCTATATGTTCCAAGTTCTTTTTTAATAAGAGCTTATTTAAACTTTATTTAAATTTATTATCTGATTATAGTTACTTTCAGACATAGTGATAATTTGATCACGTCTGTCGGGGGGGGGGGGGTCGGACTATTTAACTTTTACCAGATCAAGTAAATCCTCATAGGTAGTACATTGTGGAAAGGTTGGCAGTTAGGAGATAAAACCCGCAGAAACTAATGAAAACATTGTTTTGCATATTGAAACAAATTTCTAATTGTTAGAAAATATGCTTAAGAAGAAGAGAAATCGATATAAATTAGCCAAAATGTCTGGGCTGGCCTTCAAATTAAAAAGAGGCATAATTATTTTGTTGAGTTTTATGTTTTGTAGCTTTTAATGTGTAATTATCCTAATATTGTTTAAAAATCAATGTCATAAATTGCATGTATTTTAAACTGTGAAATTTTATGAGATTGTGATATTAATAGGGTTTTTAACAAATATTATTAAAAAATAAATATAATTTAATAGTGGCCATGTAAATCCCTAATGACTAAGGTTCGAATACCTAATTTAATTATAACTAAATGCATTCTCTTAAAAATTATCTCTCTATATTAAAGCAAGTTATTGCCTTTCATTAACATGCTGAGCCGGCGGCTCTGCCTCTGGGAACCGGCACTGGAATTTTCGTTTGGCTGGCGTCGGTCCACGGAACCGACAGTATTGAAAATAAAAAATAAGTATAGTCTCAATGAAATGTGATCAAATGTAGTTTTAATGAAATTCATTGAAATGTTCTAAACAAAAATACGGCTTAGCTTTACACATATTACAATACAAAACAACTATTTTGGTAACATTTTTGGCTATCTTGCATCCAGATAGTTTTGAATTGTCATCATAACATTTCGAACAATACCTTCGGACTTTATATGCGTCTCCTTCCTTTTTGTATAATTTATGAATAATTTAAGTCGACAATATTGCACCGCTTGATCGCAATATTGCCGCCGGCTGAATAGAAAAGACAGCAAATTCAGCCCCGTGCTCAATGTGTTAAACATTTACCGTTGCCACAAGGTAAAACACGAAAATATAAAAATTCATGTGAAACTTATTCTTTGCAAATAGTGAGACTTAATGCAAAACAACTTATCACCGCTAATGCTTTAGTGGCTTAATAGAACCTTAAAGTGTATTAACTGAGTTACAACTTCTGGAACTCTACACGAATCTATGACACTAACAGCATCAGGCAGAGCTCAGCAACTTCAAATTTGCAAAACTTGCCAACCTTAGGCCTTTCAGGTTTGCTTCTGATCAGGCAGGTCTCTCTGTAGACGAAGCAGTAGAGGTGACAACAGCCAGTCTTTTTGTTATGGATCACTGTTAATTGTAATTTTACTTCTCATTTTAACCTATGCTGCTTGACATAAAATCTACCTACTATTTACTAAACCTCTAGACTGAGCAGTATGTGACAAAATGGGACATTAAAAAAAAAAAGCTAACTGTTAGTAAAACGTAACTAAAATGTCACTTATCTTCTTTCAGATATGTCCAGTTATTATGAGTGTAAAATATTTAATGCTACTTGATAAATTTCATAAAATTAAGTTATGTTTAATAATAATGCATCCTACTCACGTTCAAGCATAGATATAACATTTTTAATTGAATTTATTCAGCTCCCATTTGCTCATAGGTCCTTAATTTTTTTCATTAATGGTCCTTAAAAGTCCTTTAAAGTACTTAATTTCCTTGTGCAGAAATGTGTACGAACCCTGGATTAAGAAACAACGCAATCTGCATCATTAACTGAAATAGATAATTAGATAATTTAAGCCTAGCTTATACCATCCGTTATACATTAAACGTGCATGTGTAAACTATGCGTTTGCGCATGCGCAGAAAGTTTGTAGCTTTGAGGTCCGGATTTTAGATCATTCCAGATTATGGGCTTTCGAATTAAAGACTTTGTACTGTATGTACCAGCTGCTAAAATTACTGAGGTGAACTGTATGCTTGCTGCGAATGAACTACAGAGTGGTGAACAAACTGTTTCGCATCTTCCTGTGGATGACAAGTCTGAAAGGATTGTATCTCCAGATTGTGATATGCAAAACAGAAATGCATTTGAGAACTGCAGTGGAAAAAGTATTTGACCCAGGTATATTTTAATGAAAAGACTGAGACTGAAATTCATTCAGAATTTTAATTTGTATAATTTAAAATTGTTATGTGTTTCATTTGTGTATGTAACTTGTACATAGTTTAAATATATGTTTCTTTAGTTATTTATTTATACCTTATGTTTGTTTCATTATGTTTTGTTTGTATTGAGTTAGGCTTCTGACCAAAGGTTGTACTGCCTGGGACGGGCAGTCCTTGGAAGGGGGCAGTGTTACGAAATGTACAGGCGCGGTAAGATGGCTTCCCCGCAAAGCAGTTTTAGGGTTGTCATAAAATAGCAAAGAAGGCAGGGTTACCACATTTTGGTGAGAAATCGCTCATTTGACGACTAAATTGGCAATATGCCATGGACGGGTGGAGAACCTTGTGGAACGAATTCTTACCAGTTTAGCCTAGAATGTTCTCGAACACAAGTCAAAAACTATGTAAACCCTGCATTAGTGTGTGTACCTCACGTAAAGTACGAGATAGTTAGTCTCGAGTTAGTCGGTCCGTGCGGAGTCGATTGAGTTGATGGCCGGGCAGTGAGTGCAGAGTGGGTTGTCGAGTGCATCGAGGAGTCTCTTAGTGTATCGTGGGTAGTGCATCATCAAGAGAGTGTGTTAAGCTCCAGAAACGACTGAACCGAAGAGTCGGGAGCTGTGCTCTGTGTTTCGAGTGCATCGCGTGTTGTAGCGGGGAGAATCTAAAGAGTGTGGAGTTCCAAGAACGACCGAGCAAAGTCACCTGTACTCTTGTGATTTGTAGTGAAGCTGTCTCCACCGTTATTGCATGACAGTGTGAAGGTTGTGTCGCTGATTGTTCCAGCGTGTTTATTGTAGATCTTCAAAGACTGTAAAAGTGTTTTGGAGCTGTCTTGATTAATATTGATCAATAAAGTATGTTTTGATACTTCATCAAGTGTCGTCGTTATTCACTCCAAATCCACATGAACCCCGTACGAACGGGAAGGAAGAAAATAACTTAGCAACTGGTGTCAGAAAAGAAAAATGCAACAACTGGTGTCAGCAGTGGTGTTGCCATTATTCACCCCAAATCCTCACGAACCCCTACTACCGTAACAACTAAAGGAAGGAAATAACGTAACAACTGGTGTCAAAAGAATAAAATACGTAAAAATATTGTTCCGTGCCCCCTCCCTTTCTTAATGTTTCTATCAGAATTTTATGGTAATCTTTCTTTTTTAACCTTGAATATAAAATAATGCATAATAATATAAGATGTAAAATTATGCAGAACTTAATTTGACATTTGAAATAAAATTGTAAGACTTTCAGTAGCATTGATTTTGGTGTAAAGTAGAAGAAATGTTTAATACCAGTTGTCATGTGTGTCTGTGCAATCAGCCAGTCAGCTTTTTTGTTATGATTAGAAAGTTAGAGAAAAAGTTTGTTTAAGTTTGGAGTGGTCTGTGATAACTTCTGCTGGATGTTCACGCATGAGTTTGAGTTGGTTTGTAGCTGGTGTAGGGCTGGTAAAATTTTGTAGTGTGTTGAGATAACAATAGAATTAAAAATGTTTAAATTCTGGTTGCTTCTTTAAACTATATTGGATTAACTTTTGTAAATATTGCTATTCGTATAAATTGTGTAAATAAGCAATAAAATGGTTAAAATAATGGATGCTTCAAGTGTATTAAACCCTCACCATCCTGTCAACCATAATTATAGAAATTAAGAAGGGGGAATTGATTTTACTAAACTCAAAATTGATGTTTCCTTTCCTTTGCATCTTGATTTCTTTAAATTTATTTTAATTTCTTTTTTTAGGTGCCTGTAAATTCATGGTTTGATGACATGTCAGATACAGAACTGCGGGATTTAATCCCTTTCTTCGAGCAGCTGAGTGAAATAGATGATGTCTATTCTGTGTTACGTAATTCAAACCATGCTGCAGGCTCACATTCTCAGCCGAACACTGTAAATGGCTCTCATTTCATAACTCCCCATATACAGCATGTGAATGGCCTAATGCAACCATCTTAGCATAGCAGAATCATCAAGAAATTGAAATGCACTGTTAAACAATGGGCCTCTGATGACTTGCCGTGGCAACTGTTATTGTAGAAATTAATTGTGTATTTTATTTTCGTCTTTGAAAAACCAGGTTTTTAAAATGTCATGCTATGGAAAAATGCGAGATGTTTTAATGCTGGTAAAAATATTTTATAATCTGTTGATATTTTTTTTTATTTGTGATTTATAAAATTACCTGTTTCTGCTGTCAAACAAATCATGCATCATAGTGTAATATTTCTATCTTTGCCATAATTCGTTTGGTACTATATATACAGTCTGGAAATTTTCATCAGTGTGTTGAACTGTTTTATTTTTGCATAGTATACTTAATTTGTTTCTTCAGTATACTATTTATTCAGTCTGTGTAAGGTATTAGATAATGAATTAATCGTTATCATCACATTGCATGATTTGCTGAAATGTTGTGCCTTACTTCTGTGCAGTTTAATGTAATATATGTATATCAGTTCTTTTCCAGAGGTAACTGCCATAAGGAATCTATTTTAAATAACTAGAAAGAAATAATCGAACCAAATTTGTTTTAGAATATATGAGCACAATTATTTTGTTTCTTATCAACTTTTAACATTTGTTCATTCATTTAATATTCACCGTGTGTTTCAGTTACTGATTTTCTAGTTTAGTTTATATTGTTGCTTATAGAAGCTTTTTGATAATTATTCATTGTCATCTAAATTTAGAAAATGGCAGCTGCTTTTTAAAATTTTAAAATATTTTATTGCTTATATAATTTAGAAACTAGCATAATTAACCTATTTAATAATGTATGATTTTTTTAATGTACCGAAATCATATCTAGAATTTCAAAAGACTGAGATTGTTGATTTTCTAATATGAATTATATTTATTTAAAAGGTGGCTTCAATAATAATTATCTGTGTCTAGAATGCACTCTCAGGTAAACCTGATTCTTGTATCTTAGTCTCTTATAACTTCTGTTTTAATGTTGCCATGGCAAAAAGGGTGAGAAGGTAACTTGGCCTTTAAAAAAACTGTTGGCAAATGTTAGAAGAAGCAAAAACTGCCAATAAAATCATTTGATGAGCGATCGTCTAATCTGCGTTCTGCCATATTTTGGAACTGTGATTTGGAAAGTGAAATGGTTTGCAGTTGTCTCCAAGTGATATTGCTTTATGTGAGGAAGGAAATCTGGCAGTTCATATCAATTATCATTTTCCTGTCAGTTGTTTACTGACTTTTTAAACAAATAGCAATACATATAAAAGTGGAAAACTTACAGGTTTGCCTAAAAGAAGAAAAAGTAATGGATATTTGAGAGGTTTTTTTTTTTTTTTTTTGGTGAAAATTTCGGAGCTTTGTCATAAATTTGTTAGTTATATATTTATATAATAATGGCATTCAAAGTAGTCATTTTAAGGCAACAAATTATATTATTTGAATCATGAACGTTTTTACAAATACATTCATATCTGCAAACAACACAGTTGGTACAGCCCAAGGTATTAATTCTAAAATATTTAGAACATAATGCTGTTACAATTAAATAGATTTTTAATTAAACAAAAAGAATCATTCTGGGAAGTAGGCGTTTTGGGGCATGTGTAATTTGTTAAACTCTCTCTTCTCTCCCAGAACTTTTTTGTTTTGTAGCATATTTCTGTATAACGCATCCTTTCCATTGAAGGTTTATTTCATTTGAATTTGTGTATCAGTTTGGTTAAACGACTTCAGAATCAAACCTTGACTGTGCCTAGCGTTGTGGTGCTTTTTAAAAATGCCTACTTTAGCCAGAAATCATGTTTTTACTGTTGTTGGCTTTATTTCTCTCGTGAATGCTGTGTAACCATGCATTTCAGATTTTTTTTCGCATGTACAGGATAGGTTTTGCATGAAAATCATCATATCCAGTTGTTCTGCTTTGTTGTTGATGATGTTCAGTTTGTGTGATGATTATGTAAAACTGAATGACTGCTTCTGTATATATTTTTAAATTGCATTCTTGATATTTGTGATGAATTTCCTCATGGAACAATTTATTCAAATAGTTTTTGTATATAAAATTGTATGTACAAAAGAGAGTATTAGATCATTATTACAGGGGGACACAACTGCTGTATAGGTTTTCCTCTTGTCTGTATTTATTGGTTAATTTTTGCTTATATTTTTTAAGAAATATTTTTTATTCTGTTAAATAATTTATAAACAATGGAGGCATTCTGTTATTTAAGTAATTTTAGCATTTCACAAAAAATTAAAGTTTTTAAAAATTTTTAAAGTGATCTCGAAATGTGTCGCATAAGTCAGTGGTCTTAAACTGGCAGTCCCCAAAGCAATTTTATGCAACCTGCGAATGCATTTCTTGTAAATTAAATAAATTGTCAATTTTAAGAAACAGTTTAGGATGTTAATGGTGTAGAGTCCAGTTTTACATTATTTTTGTTACCAAAAATGCACATGAGTAAACTCTGTAGAAAATCTAGAAATTCATTAATTTAGACTGTGATATGAATATTATACAGAGCTTTGAAGATACAAATTTGATTAACTGTTATTAGTACTTATCAAATGCTAAATAATTCCCAGTTACGAATTTTTGCAATAAAAATAATTGCTTTGTTTGGGAATACATTTAAAGTTTTTTTTTATGGATGAAAATTAATAAATTCATGAAAAGAATGATGAGTATTAACAGTTTGTGTTGGAGATACTTTCTGGTAATTTTTCTCCAACATAACAAATTTTATGAAAATCGAAACACTGTGAGGTGTTGCTGCTGAAGGGTATAGTAAGAAACAAATAAGTTACATACAAATGTTATTTTCCCTGTGTGTGTCAGAGAAAAATCCAATAAATAAAAGAAAGAGAATATGTTTCGTTATTTATTCTCAAGTTTTGTTCCTCTTCAGAAGTTTTCATATATTTCTTTTTAGGCTTATTAAAGGTAATTTACTTCATGGTTACTTCAATGCATTACAATTATTTAAATAAGTGTAAGTCTAAAAACCGTAACAGTTAGCTGTTAAAATGTTTGATTTGCATCATTTTATATGTAGTAGAAATTATTTTTAATTTAACTAACAAATTTTGTTTTCTTAACAAAAAAGGTGGGGAAGGGCCCATCAGTTATTTTCAGATATTTCGCACTCGCAATTTGAATTTGAGACCACTGCCTTAAATAACAAATAAATCCCCTTAAAAGTGTGAATGTTGTCATCAAGTATGTAAAAATTAAGTAATATTTTTCAGCAAGAAAATCCCTGTGCAGTTTGTTTGTTATAATTTGTGAATTTAAGTTAATTTGTCTTTGCTTTGTGATTGTGTTTTAATGAAATTATTTTATTACATTTCTAAAAATGGCTGTGAAAAGTCTATTTTTAATATTTGCACCATGAGAAAATTCTGAACACAAATTTCAAGTTGTACTTGATATTGTTATGTATATAGATCATGAGACCAATTTGTTATATTGGGCTCATCAGGCTTACTCTAGAGTTCTTAGGTTATTTCTCACAGAAAGTAAGTTAATAACACAAACAAAAAGATAAAAATAAATTTTTATACTATGTACAGTGGCCTTATGTGCTCCACACTTTTTTGTACAAAGACTTGACTTGAACACTGAAAATCACCATAGTGTCAAATAGTAGCTGTTTGCTTTAAATTTTATTTTTTCATTTTATATGTAATAGAACATAGTATTAAACTTGTAAATGAAATTAAATAAAAATGAAAGTGGGAAAAAATTTTTCTTGGTAAAATATAACATTGTTTTCTTTGCCAGGAGACTTTTATGTTATTAAATTAATGTACTTTTTATTTTATATGTATGTATGTAAACATGGGAAAGTTTTATTTATATTTGAATTTTAAATGCAATGAATGTTAAATTTAAATTGGTATTTGTGTTGAATTGTAAATTCTATGGACATATTAGGCATGTACATTGCACTTTTTCATTTACATGTGCTTTCTCTTGCACAGTAGGTTCTCTTAGAAGATAAGAGAATGTATTGCTGTGTGATGAAGTAAGTATATCAAGGTCCAGAATGTCAGCATATTTATAAGTTGCAGTAAATTTTAGTCAAAAATTGTTCACTTTTGCTAGCATCATATTTTCAAGAAAATTTTCTTTTCTTCTCAAAATAAAGCATAAATTCTTGTATAAATGTTGATGATGTGATATGTTCTATCCCCCCCTTTTTTTTTTAAAGAATGGCTTTCATGTTTCTTTTAAGTGAGTTGGTTTCACATTACAAATTATTGTATATGTGATTACGAATGCAAGTTTTTCTTGTAGGTAGAGAGAAAGACCTCCACTCAGTTTCTGAGTTGGCTATTGAGTTATCTTGAGATTGTGTAGGACGTGAGGTTACATTCCTATGCAGCCCAAACTGGAAAAAAAGTGTGAAATATAATCAAAAATCCCCCCCCTCTTTTTATTTTTAAAAAGACCAACTATTTTTCAAATCTCATTTGTTAATCCAGTCATCTTCATTTAACTAATAATAATATGCTGCAAATGATGCTTAAAAACTGAAGAAATTAACAGTTTATAAATCATACCCAACCAGAAAAGAAAGTAATACTGTGAAATATAGTAGCCCAAACTCTTGCTGGAAAACACAAATTTTGTGTGATTATCTCTTGACACTATAATGTTTATATATGCATAAACATTAGTTTATATATGTCAAGTTTCCAGTGTACATATATAAAACAATGTTTATGTGTATATAATTGCATATAACGGTTAATGTTCATTGCTGTATCATTTCTTAAAAGATTTGACCAAAACGTTAGAATCCCTCAAATGCACAATGCACAATGCAGCATACATTTTATTATTACTGTATTTAATGTTGGCAGTATCTTATTATATGTTACATGAATATAACATTACATATATAAGTTAAACACATGACAATGCATAATATTACAATGTTTTAAATGCAGATATGGGGTCACTCTTACTTACTAGAAACAATTAAAAAAAGTGTTATATGATATTCAGATTTTCTACGTTTTAAAAAGTGTTATGCAATATGTAACTTTTTTTTTTTTATTTGTGTAAGTAAAACAGCATACTATGGCTATCTACCTGAGGGAAGGGATACCTCACTACTTTTTTTATGCAAATTATTAACAACGCATATGATTTGTTTTATGTAGAATGTGTACATTTTTTTATGATCAGATGTGTAAATTGTTGTTTTTAAGCCAATATTGGAATTGTATTGGAATATTTATTCCTGATAGCATTTTCACATATGTTTATATTAATAATTTTATTATTTGAAATTACCTGTTACTTTTTAGTAAAATTTTATATGTGTGAAATCTGTATATGCCTTTCATGCCGGTGTATAGGATGGTGCTCAAATTTTCATCAATAAAATGTATATTTTTCTTTATAAATATTTGTACAGTGAAATATATTGTAAAAAAAATGCTACTGAACCTTTTATTGCTCAATACTTGTTTAAACAAAAGTTTTGGTCCATTTTTGGTATTTAACTGTGCCAAACTTATGAAAAAAATAAGGGGAAAAACTGTCTTCCGTTTGATGATGAGCAGTTTGGAGTATACTTAACCCATTTATTAAAAATGTGCTGTAGATTTGTACAAAAGTGTTGTTTGTACAGAGAGATGAAATTTTACTCTATTGTATTTATTATCTACTACTTAATATTTGATATGGTATGTGAGGTTGTAATATGGATAACTTTTATGTTAATAAATCACTATTTAATATGGGTAAAGTAAACTTCAACTGGTCAAATTATCCTCTACCGTCCTTAATTTATACAGTACATTTTCATATCAAAAGTAGCATTTCTAAATTACGTTTTGTCCCAAGATATAATTTTGAAAGATGCAAAAATCAGTCGTACTTCCTTCTTCAAACTGCAGAAACAAACATTTTTAAAATTCATAAAAGAATTATTTTGCATGAAGGTAGAGTTGGATATCCCTTATATATATAAATACACACACACACACACATTGAGGGAATGGATTTCTGATTTTAAATATTAGAAAGAAAAATAAATTTTTAATGAATACACTGAATACTGACCAAACCATGCATGTATTAAAAAAAATACTGCGTTAATATAATAGCTAAAGAGATCATCTGTCTCATCAGCAGCAATTTCTGTTGATATAAATCATTAGGTAATTTTTATATAAAAAAGCTTTCGCAAGCATACGTGATTGCTAGATACTTTTAAATCTTGTAGATAAGAAGACACATAGTATATAGGAAAATTTCAAACGCTGTTAATCCATTTAATTAAGTACATTGCTAAGGTATTTTGCAGGTGAAATGCTGCAGTCAGTAATTGAACAAAACCCATTAAAAATGCACAATAAAAGCTCGACTATCTGGAAAGCTTGGGAAATCCTGAATTCTGAATATGAATGGGAATGAATTCCGAAGTTGAGGAGACCAAAAAAATGGAATTCACATTAGAAAAGTCAAATCAATGGGGAAAATTTCCATTCGAAAATTATAAAAACAGTCCTCTTATTTGTTACCAGCTTGAATAACGAAAAGCTACATTTAAAATTATATAAAGATTTTTAGATAGAAAAGCCAGTGTATTTCATAGGCCTTAAAGATGAAAGTAAACATTTGATCTGATTATTAAATCCCATCGAACACAAAAGTTGGTGGAGATGTCACCATTTATTCTGACAGAAGTTGAAATGAACAATATTTAATTAGATAATAAAAATGTATAAATTACAGATATAATGTATTAAAAACTCGAATCATTTATCTAAATTTTTCACATTATATTGCATTGTTTGTCTGTTATCAAAGTGGCATATCATAGCTTTCTTTTATGCCCAAATGAAATAACTTTGAAAATGCTGTATGTCATGAAGTCCCAGATATTAATATTTTTTACAAAATGCAAGAACAAAATTGAACTGGCTTATCGAGAATTAATGGAATTTACATTAAACCCAAATGAATGACATCGTTATCGTTAGTTGGATGCCGGATAGTCGGGATTTTATTGTATTGGCATTTTAAAACTATATCTGGCATATGTGAAAAAATAAGATTAATACATTAAATATGACTACCACTGGTACACAATTTTTTCATATTATTTTTTTAAATTTATTCATTAAAATTCTTTAATATGATGTGTTTTGATCCAGAAATCAGTCACAAAATAAATCTTCAGAAGGAACCTTTCTAAAAATAACCTCTAATAATTTTTAAGCAATTTTGGTCTTGCCTTTAAAAATATAAATGTAAGTGATGTTTAGTATTGTTATTTAATTCTCAAACGTACCAGTCATTTTCAAGAGTAATCATCTTGATATGGTCTAATGTATTTACTGAAATTGTACCTTTAATAAAATAGGTTTATTTAATAACTTTCATTCATGATGCCTTTGCTGTTTGGGAATGACTTCAGTCAGAGATTGGTATCATTACGTTTGAAGAATATTGTATAAGGGGTATTCAACTGAATTTATTCTAAGCGTTTAGTTTGCTAAAATAATCTCTTGGTGATGTTTTTATAATATTTTAATTGCTAAAATGAAAGTATTTCAGTGTTTTAATTGAAACAAGTCTCCTGGCAGTGAAAAATCATTTATACTTCAGCCACCTCCCAGCCAATCTGTTCAGTTTTATTTATAATTATTGGTCATGTTTTGAATTGTTGAAGAATGTCTTTTAGTGTATGTTGTGCTGAAGTCCAGAACTGTGCCTTTTGTTTCTATACAAGAATTAGCAGTTTCATAACAAAGCTGCAGTTTATGAGGGAATTTTTTTATATCACACATAGCTTTTATTTGAATTAAATGATGGAGGGTAATTATATAGAACATTAAAAACTGAAGAGACTTCTGTTTGATTCACTGTGTGCCTTAATTTGTAATTTCAGATACAATTAAAAACATGAAGAACAAACAATGATAAAAATTACGTGCAGTTAGCTTTGCTGTTTTAATAACTTGCTTAAAACAAAGAGTTCTCTTTAAAAAGTGTAGCTGTCATAAGTAAATGAAAGTAACTTAAGTAGTAAGTAAATTTTACAATGTAGCAACAATACAGAAATTTTCATTCGGTAAAAACATTCACAAACAGCCTGATTGCAAATATTTCCTAGGGTATTTAAAACATTATTTCTCAACATATTCTAAAATTCATGTACTGTTTTTTAAGATTTGCAAATTTTTAAGAATTTTGTCTTTCTGTTTAAAGGCTTTTTGAGGTACTTTATCATGCTTGGTATGTTAATTCATATATGAAAAGGACACTAATATCAAATAATCAAATATAAAATTAAGTGAAAATCAAAATAGATTGGCATTGTTCATGTGAAAAATCCCTTTCCTTCAGGGAAAATTGAAGAATAGATATTCCATACTTATTTTTCATCCTTAAGAAGAAAGATCCCATATTTATTTTTGTCAGATATGATAGATTTAAATAAAACCAGTGTTAATCTAAAGTTAAATATTGCCTAATTTTTTACATTAATTCATACTGTATTGCACAGTTAAAATGCTCTACCATTACAACAACTAAGAAGTTTGCTAAAATTATATTGTGAATATATGGGATTAGACTGTTTGTATATGCAAGATGTTAATTTTATGAGTTTGGAGTTTTTAAATGTATTTCTAAATCTCCAAGTAAATAATTAAATTTTATAATTGGCATCCATTTAATAAAAGATAAAATATTAATATTGGGAAAATATGAAAGCAATTCAAAACCCTTTTTTACTCAATTAATCAATCCAATCAACATACAGTGTTTTTTCCCCTCAAGAAAAAACTTCTACATCAAGCCAGTAGTTTGGTAATTATTTGCTGAATGCCATTAAAATTTGTTTTCATTTATGGTTAATTTACTCTTTTTATGTCTTCTAGAAGGAAAAATTTCATTAGTCTGTCAATGTTCATTTTATTGCAAGAAAATAGGTCTAATTACTGTATAATAATCACTTTTTTAACTGAAAACAATTAAAATTTGATTATTTCTGGCTTTAACAGTCTTATCAGGTTTATGGAAATATTTATCAGGTGCAAAAGCAGTGCATATTCATGTACATTTTAATATTGCCAAAGTTATCTAAAGCACATTCAGACATTAGCTCTAAGCGGTTTTTCTTAAGGTTAGAAAAATTTAGTTTTATTCTTTTCCTTCTTAAGCCCCTTGTTATTTTAACAAAATAACAGTTTTTATTATATGTTCCGCTTCTTGGCAAATGTTGCAATTTTATGAGTTCTAAATTCTTTAAATTTTATCACCTATATACCTAGCCAATTCCCAAGTCTCAAAGATGTACATTTGATATGGCTTCAAACTTTTTGTCTTTCAAATTGACATTTGATTAACTGATGGATTTAAAAGTACTCAGTTTTAATAGCATCTTTAATTCATGTAATTTATAGTGCATCTAATTCATACTGCTTGTAATATATCCAATATCTTATTTTATGAAAATTTGCCCTCTTACAGTAATAATTAAAATAATATTTAATTCCATATATTATGTACTTCTGTTACAAAACTAATCACAACTCTTTCACAATTTTATATTGATTATTTTTTAACTATAATGAATATATTACATTGGCTCTAATATAAGACGTCACATGTAAAGTGGGAGTTTGTAAAGGAGAGGTATGGATATGTAAATTTCCTTGTCTGTTCATCAAGTGTTAGATTAAAAATTTAAAGCATTTGACTTGTGTGGGCACTTGTACCAAGTAAAAGTTTTACGGAAAAGGTTTAACTGATGATCTTAAATTTACGGTATGTCTTTTTGAGACACATGTAAAATCAACTAAATGTTATTTTTATGTTTAACTAAATATTGATGTTTCCATTAGAAAACGAAAGGCAAAAAATAGCACACAATGCCAAAGAGTCCAAAATCACACACAGCATTGTTCCCTGGTTGTGGAAAGCATTTAAATCAACTGAAACGTATAATCAGTGGGGAAATATCTTGTTAGAGGTATCACATGTGCTGGAGAAGGGGACATTGCTGTGCCAGGGGAGCGCACCACAGCTGAGCCTGTGATGAATGAATTTCTTGCTGCCACACGACAGTGTATCTTCCGAAAAACTAGTCAGACATTTGGAAGAAAGAGAACTACATGTCCTCTATCTTCCAAACCTGTTGTGTTTGTCCCATTGTCCAGACAGCACTGTTACTGCCCATTTGCAGTGGTATAATGAGTATCAAAATTGGATTGAATAGGAATGGGCTTGCAGACTGTTTCTCAAATGAGACTCCATTTAATCTATCATCAGACTGCAGCCAACTGATCTGGCTTGAGTGTAGTACAACTTATCACCCAGAAAACATCCAAGAAAAGGACTAATATCTGAGATCCAGTATCATGGTGTAAGCCAGTATGACCAGCCAACAATACATTGATGAAATTTTGCAATGCACCATTGAATACTGTATTCAGGTTTGTCTAAATAGGAAATTATTCAGTGCCTCGTATAGCCATCTTTTCCCATTTCTTCGTACACAGCATCTACTGTTGGATGTTTCAAAATATTCTGTATTTTCCTGCACAGTAGTAAATGTCCTTTATTCTAATGTCCAAAAGTGTGGCAATAAAATTTTATCCTGCTTAGCTTCCACCTCTGCTTAATGTTATGCTACATGGCAGTTTGAGATCTGTCCTTAGCAATTGTCCAGGTATTTTGCAGACGAAATAATTTAAGAAATCTATAAAGTTTTTTTAACATAAAATTATGAAATAACTGCTAGTATGATAATATTTCTTGCATTACTTAGTTGATTAACCAATCTAGTTTCTTATTTAAACAAGTAAAGAGACATTAAAAATCGTTATTACAAATTTATTATTTACCTCTAAAAATAATGAGATGACATATAAAAGAACTTCCATACAGAAGTACTTATTATTAACCATATACATAAACATTAATCAAGATTTTTGCTTGCTTACAAATAAGCATGTATATTAACATATTACATAAAATTGCTTATATTAGTTTTATATTCTGGAAATAGCTGCACATATAAAATTTTACATGTTTTTTTATAGACCATGTAAAGCTAAATGTTGAGCTAAAGTTTTTTTATGTTTAAATTGTTTTCCACATTCTTGGCATGAAAAAGGTTTTTCACCTGAATGTATACGTAGGTGAACTGTCAAGTTACCTTTCTGTGTAAAGCCTTTTCCACAGTAGTGACAGTGGTGTAGAGTTTCTCTTGTATGTGTTAATACATGACGTTTGTAAGTACTCAAATGGAGACATGTTCTCTGGCAAATTGGACAAATAAAGAGTTTCTTCATTGAAGGAACTGTCTGCAAGTTGACCTTCTCATTTGAATAGTGTTGAGATATTCCAAATATATCTAGAAAGAAAATGTTGAACAAAAGTATATAAGAATTTGATCTTGTTTTAATAACTGAAGTTAAAAATTAATTAATGAGTACTTTCATTCAAAAATGCAGTTAAGACTTAGTATAATTTTTTAATGAATAAGAAATTAGAGGCTTTTAAAATTATCAGAGCATTTAGTTTATTAATTATAAAATAATGCATAAAATGAATGCCTTTAGTATTGTTTTATGTTACCTTTTGACTAAGTATAATAAGTAAAAAGCAAAATATAAAAAACAGAAATTGTATGTGAATACTTTCAGTTTATCCATTCATATTCTAAAATAATTTAATATATGAGTGATGATTGAAGCAGCAGGAAAAAAATCATCATCAACCTGTTTACAAATAACATACTGGAGTGCCATAAATAGACTGTAATGAAAGAAATATTTTAAATAATACTATAATTTCTATTGCCATTTTGAGCTGAAAAAAATAGAGAATTTTGATTAAAAAATGTATGCAGTAACTGTAAGAAGTGTAGCAAGAGATCTGCTTATCCATACATAAAGAATTTCCAGTTTTGTCTATATCTTATGGGTGTTGGGTATGTGTACTGGTGATCCAGCAAACTTCAGTCCCTTACTCCTTCATTTTACATTGCACAGGCAGCCAGTTTCCTTCAAGTTTTTCTGCTACAAAAGTGCTTCTGATAACAAAAAATGTACATGCAATGGATTCAGAGATGCAGTAAAGATTAGCCATAGCTAGGGTTTTCAGTGTCCGGTGACAGCTGAAGAATTTGTGCTCCTTTCTGTGTGCCAAGAATGGAAAACATTTCAGTATAAAATTTCATAACATCAGTTTGGTGCCACCTGGATGCTGCGCCCAGGGACTAATGTCCCCTCTTGCCCCACCTAAGCTACGCCAGTGACCATACTCCAGAGAATGCCACACTTGTATTATAAAGCTGCTTAATTAAAAGTGCAAACTTTGGCACATTCTTTTTAACTGTTGTACACCATTTTGTAATTGTATTATAAACTTGTTGAATTACGAATCACCTCATGCATCCATATTGTTTGTAGTCCTCCTGATCTGAATCTACAATCAGATTAAAATGATGAATTTTATTATGGGCAAGTTTCCACTTGTCCTTTGGCACCTTATGTGTGATTTTGAAGAATCCTCTAGAGCGGGGGTCCCGAACCTTTTTGTCCCTAGGAACACATTCTAGAATATTTGTTGGACGGTGGGCACCATTTAAGTTTTTAAAGTGAATTTATAGTTGGATAGAGTTAATAATACATGCACATAAAAAAAAATCCCATTTCACTTTGTGCTAGTATCTGTGTTGGATGCAATTTCTATTTCATTAAAAATACAAACAATAGAACTAAGAACAAAAAGACCAAAGTCACTGCTTAAGCAGTGCTCTTGCCTCCCAGTGTCTGAAGAGCCCCCTATCGAAGCAGGTTGTCTCTGTCCATTTCTTCTCCAGAATCACAAAGTGGGCAGATAGGA